CTTCCGGAATCCTTTGCGTCCTCCTTGTCTTCCTTCTTCTTCTTCTTTCCCTTCTCACTTCCGGAATCCTTTGCATCCTCATTGTCCTGATTCTTCTTTTCCTTCTCACTTCCGGAATCACCCTTCTTTGTCGTTGCTTTCTTGTTCTTCTGACTTTCTGACTCCTTTGGCTCCTGCTTTGCATCCTTGTCTTTCTTTTGCTTCTTATTGCTCTTCGGATCGCTCTTTTCACTGTCAGACTCCTTTTCTTTCTCATGTTTCTTTCCTTTTGCTGGTTGCTCCGTGTCTTCATTCTTCTTCTTTGACTTCTCTGCCCCTGACTCCTCCTTCCTCTTCTTTGCATCTTCTGTCTTCTTTTTGTCTTCCTGCCACCATGCTGCATTGCTCGAGTTGTTGCTTTGTCAAGTCTCCTGGGTTTGGGTAGATTTCCTCTAGATAAACCCGGAGTTCGCTGGAACACTCCTGGGCTTTCAAAGCTTTTCCAATACAAACTGTAGGCCTCCTCTTCATCGTCTGATGAGCTTGATCCTGCCGTTTCCTCCTGCTTCTTTGAGTCCTGCAGGATTGATGTTTTGAAACACTTCAGAACTATACATGAGACATGTGCTGTGGGCTCTTTGAACAAGATGCGCGTATGATGAGAAACTGAAGAACTAGACGACGGGTGGCCCGAGAGCGAGACATGTGATTGTCCAGCACGGTCGAAAAGATATATATAGAAACAGAGAAAGAAAGGGTGGACGTGAAGGGGTGACAGTGTGGATGCGCAGGTGCGATATAGAATACGTAGATGTATGGAGCTGTATACAGGTAGATCTGTGGATGTGAGCGTGCGAAGATGTAGACGAGAGAGAAGATATGTAGAAAGATAGAAAGACAGGACAGATGTGAAGGAGCGACAGTGTGGATGTACAGATGTGATATAGATGTGCAGATGTGTGGGTGTGGTGAGGTGAGAGGTAGATCTGCGGATGTGAGCGTGCGAAGATGAAAATGTAGAGAGGTGAGGGCGACCTGAGAGCAAACGACGTCACGATCATGAGAAGCGACTCGTGTATTCCAAGCGAACATCGTTTGTCGTGGAGGTGAAGTACACACATATACTAACGTCACGATGACTTTTTTGTGGCAGCCGCGGATCGCGTCGTCTGAGCGACGATGTCGCAGGTTCGTCCCGAACAGTCTCGACGGACGAACGGCGACATAAATTAGCCTCGGTGTGTTGCGCTGAAGTCTCTCTGCCATTCCGCGCGCAAACCTTCCAGGCGCCACAACGCTTCCAAGACATAGGGTCGATTGCGCCAAGGACGCAACGCCGGTCGTTTTTGAAGCAGCAACTGCACGGCCTCCAGCGCTTAATGTTCGTAAGCGACAACGAGCCAAGCGCATAAAATCCCCGCGCTCCGATTGATGCCGCCAAAGCAGTGAAAGAGCACGTGCTGGCTGCAGACGATTTTCCACTGTCGCAAACAGGAAGCCACCAGGTCCGGAATCTGCTCAAGCCAACGCCTTGCCGGCTTCAACGTCGTGTCCTCCAAGTGACACTGGGTGTGAAAGACATCTTGTTGTTGAAAGTATTTCGTCCAGTCTGTCGGTGCGCCTGCGATCTTCATCTCCTACGCGCACATGTGGTGACCACCACAGTGACCTTCAAAGACGAGGTCTCCGCAATGTCTCCCAAGCTACACGCAGCTTTTAAACTTCCAAGCAACAGCGCTGCTCGATCTGTAGGTCTGTAAATGACAGCAGCATCCAAAGGACACGCTGCTATGGACTTAAAGCTGTAGTCGTGTTGGTCTGTGACATAATCCAAAGCAGTCCACCGGCTCCTATCAGCGTAAGCATCTCTGATATCCTGCTCTCGCTGTGTTCTCCACTTGAGAGCGCCAGTAGCCAGATCCATGACTACCAAAGGCGAACGTCTGATCGCTGTGAAAGACCCCTAGCACCTACTACATCACTGATCAGTGTTACAAGGCTGTACGTGACCAATTGTTGAAAACAACCAAATGGATCAACAATGGCAGTGAAGTTCACGGAGTCGCGGCTACCCAGTTCTTGAGCCCCGGGGAGGCATGGTATGAAATCCGTCCATTCTCATGGTGCCCGATGGTATCAAGCAAACAAGACTTAAAGCAGGATGTTACGAAACTCTCAGGCGCGAATACTTGTACCTATCCAAAACAAGGTGGCAAGATCTCGTTGACACAGTTTGTCCAGCCACGCCAAACGTGAACTCAGCATCCAACCACTCCCTGCGACGCAATATATAGCACCTCAAGAGACGAAATTGAAGTCAGTGGGAAACACGAGTATGTAGGATTCTCGCATCCTCGTCGTCGTGACATTAACTCCTTACGAAAAAGTCACAAGCAACCAGGTGCTCTGTTTTTGCACTCATACTACGCCGACAGTCCCTATCGCAGCAAACAGGACGAGCAGCAACTTCATGCGGTGCTCGGGTATTCAGATCTAGGAATCAAAGACGAAATCGTGCTGAGGGGATGCACCAACTGTCTCTATAACATCACCAACATAAATGTGATTCTAAAGATTTACGATTCAAAGACAAAATCATGCTGAGGGGATGCGCGAACAGTCTCTACAACATCACCAACAGCAGTGTTTTAAAAAAAGATACGACCAGCTCTCACGTGGCGCTTTTCACGAATGGTTTGGCAGCCCTGCTGTGCCTGGCGCTTGCAGTGTCCAGTGTCCGGGTCAATCTTCACTATCACGGCATTGTTCCGGCACTCCTCCCATCGAGCTTCCGCTACAGACCTTGCAGACGAGCTCGCCTGAAACAACGCATAGGCTCGCAAAAGCAAAGACATGTCCCATCATCACCAAGAAAATTCAATGACCTTGACCGGAGAGGTCTTGGAATGGAAGACTTCAAAAGAGATTTAAAATCTCGATAAGACATTTAAAATGCAATAAATGCAAAAAAGTTTTAAATAAAAGCCTTATAGCAACAATCAACTCAAAAAATCTAGAAAAATATCGAAAAATCTCGAAACATCTCAAAAAATCTCGAGGGGATAAAAGGAACAATCATTTTAACAACTCAATGAAATCGCAAAATAAATCTCGAAAAAAATTCGAAAATTCTCGAAACGTGAGAAAATATGCAAAAATAAGCAAAAAGATGCAAAAACATAATTTCACACGCAAACTGGAGCGCGATATGACCGCTGCAGTCAGTTGTGTTCAGCTGTTAGGATAACTTCTCCCCAAGTTGTGTTTGAGGTGTTTTCCAAAAACAGTAACCTTTATTTAAAATGAAAAATGTGAAAAATGATTTAAGCTGTGAAAATATGATAAAAAATGTGGAAAATTGATAAAAACATGTGAAGAAATGCAACAAAAAATCAGAAAACATAAAATTTCATGCGACCCTGCTCTGATCTAATCCTACTCTGATCTAGGTAGTCAAATTCTTCTGGTGACATCAGCAAGAAAAAGTCACTTCCAACCTCACGCAGGCGTTTCTGAACAGAACATATACCCTGTAACTTTTTCAGCGCATACCTATCTATACCCACAACACAGCGATTGGGCCTGCTCTGTTGGCGCCAAGGCTTCCATCAACGCAGAGTGCAGTTGCGCAACTGGCAGCCATGTGTCCCCTATCTTCGCTCTGATGCCTCCGGCAACATCTTGCTACCGTCCGCGAAGCCGTTCTGCTCCCTGGTTCATGGCATTGTTGCGGAACTCTTCACATCGCTGACCCTGTGACGAGCGCGGTAACTGGTCCATTATCGCGGACAGTCCCTTCAAACAATAGAACAGTCACCGCGCTACTATGACGCGTCCCGGGTATGCGACTCGAACCAAAAGCTTCTTCCGCAAGCGTGTTCTGCTAGCCACCTGTACCCATTCAAACTTACAATACCTTCACTAGCTGGAGGTCATCCTCCGTCCATCCTCCACCGACACCTACAGGCATTGTTTGCGCAATCACTGTTCAATGTCGTGAAACACAGATATGCTCCAAATTCTGTATGGCTTTATGGAAATGTCTTGCCTTGCAGCACTGACTCCAAGTGGGGCTCCAACCACAACGGTGACGTCATCGCTCGACGCAGCTCCAGGCTCAAACTCTTCAATTGCTCCACAGGACACCGTGAAAGAACCCCTCGAACATGCGAGACAGGTGATTTTCGAGCAATTCCGAGTAAGCCGATAGTTCCAATTTCCGTGTCCCAGAGCCATGACCTCTGGGCGCAATTTAAAATATTCAGAGAAAAGGTTTGTAGAAAGAGAGAAG